TTCCTTGAAAAATTTCCCTCTTTCCCCGGAAGACAGAGGAATCTTCTATCCCTACATTCAAATTTCAGAACCCAGTTCAAAGACAGAAAATGAGCTTTCCCTCATGTTGAGGTTATTTACAGGAGCTGCTGTAGTGAGTTAACATTCTGTTATGTCATGATCAAGGCAGAATCTGCCCAGCATTAAGAACATCTTCTCTGCTTTGTAGCAAATTTGCTAAATGTGTTTTAATCACTGCTGCTGTAGAGAAAAGACTCTCAAAAGCATGTAATTGTTTTAAAAGCTTTAGGTACAGATCCACAAAGTTTTGTAGGTATATCCTTCTTATTTAGCAACCTGAGCTTGAAAATAGAAGGAAACCTACCAAGTCTTTTCCATTGATTTCATACACCTATTAGATGTGTCTTAAATCCCCCAAATTATATTTCAGAATAGGACTAAGATACAGACTTGCTTAACTGCATAATTTATACACAGTGTAATTATCATGTTTTGATTGTCAATTGCTTTTGCGGGTATGGGCGTACTTCTCACCAAGGAAATGAGGTTTCTGCTGTCTCATTTGCTGCCATCAACGGACATAAAGTTAGTGAGTAGAGCAAAGGAGAAAGGGATACAAATCCTAGGGCTTCATGCCCTCAGAAACTCTTCCTGGCACAAGAGCTCTGGAGCTGGAAAGAGCTGCAGTGTTGTGTTACACAGGTGTGAAACCTCAGTGTCATGTTGGAGCATAGGAGCGAAAGAGCATCTTATTCTTGTCATCTGAGACTTGACAGATTTGGAGTTAGAGCGTAGAAAGTCAGAGAAACAGGTAAAATGCAAGGGGGAACTGGGCTGTCTCATAGTCACAAAGGAAATTAATGGCAGAGATGGGAGTGTGCAATTCAAATGTTCAAAAGTGCACTTAAATCAATGTAAATCATTCCAGTGGCTCTTCTAAATTGACTTGGGTTCCCGAATTCCTGTTCCCTAATGAGAAGTAGCACTCCCCAAACTCCAGGACTCCAAAGTAATGGCTAATATGCAAGCAGTCAAGAAGTGTTTAGTCTGCGATTTATCTTATAATCTATAGTCACAAGCTAGCAATAAGTAATACTTTAAAAAGTAATTATAAATGCCAGAATGCTAATCTTTGGCATATTCGCATTAGACAATATTCCATTGATGTATTGCAACATACAGGCACGGGTAAAATATACCCAAAAAAATCTAAAGATTGGAATTGTGTTCCTATTCACTTCTATCTTGTTATTATGCTAAACCTAGCTACTTTAAACAAATGATCAGTAAACAAATATTTGACAAAGAATTGTTGAAAATGGGAAAACCAGAGTAGTGCCTTATAATTTTTTGAATGCCTCTGCTAGACTGAATTGCCAACATGTTATTTAGAAAAAACTTTGCAGATGCATAATTTTTCTTGTATTTATTAAAATAAGTACCAAGAACACAATGGTTTTACTGCCGTTAAATTACAATCTTAAGTTTATTTTATTTAGACAAATGAATCTATTCATTTTTTGACATTAGAGGAAATTTGAAGTTTGTTTTAACAACATGTAAACAAACAGGAGCTTGTTACCTTGAGACAGAATTGCCGGTTTTAAAAAGAAAACTTGTCACAAATGTGAATTTTTCTGCAGGATAATGGATCTCCTGAAGAACATGCAATTTACGTGTGGGACCATTTTATTTCCCAGTCAGCAGCAGAGAACGTGTTTTTTGTTGCTCACAGTTATGCTGGACTCACATTCATAGAGTTGGTAAGTGTGACTTCTCCATTGCCTTCTTTCCTAAAGTCTATTGCAGATTTTCAAAATTCTTTACAATCTCCTTCTTCAAACAGCAAGTTAGGAACAGTTTTGAACAGTGGTCACTTAGAGCTAGGAGAGGATTTTTTACACTGTATTTTTTTTTCTCTTTCATTGAATTCGATGATAAGGCTCTAACCATACACTAACCTGAAAAAAAAAATGTAAGGAAAAAAAAGATTATTGGAGCTTCTTATTTTAGGCTCTTCACCTAAAAGTAGTACCCACTGAGCTTCTGTTCTCAAAGTAAGAATAATTTTCATGCTAAGCAAATCTTTGTATGTATATTGGAATTTAGCATGAGGGGAAATTCATGGGAAAGCAGTTTTTCAAAAGAGGTCTACAGAAGTTGCTGAAAAGGCATTTTTCTGTTAGTAGGTGCTGGGTAAAACTTACTGTGATGTAAATTTGGGAGAGTTATGGTTAACTGTAAATCTATGCTACTGCTGAAGAAGATGTTAGTCTCTTTTACTGTGCTCTAGGAGGCAAAGATGTTCACTGTATCTGCAATAGAAAGAAGTTGCCTTGTAATGTTCAATTTATGCAGCTTGTATAACAGAACTCACTATAGTTTCCTCATTTAATCCTAAAATGCTGATGTAATCAGGACATGGTTTATTGAAGAAACTTTAAAAAGTTCCACTTTTTGTGGAAACATTCATTTAGGGGTTAACGGCCTCGTTTTTATAGACTCGGGAATCAACAGGCATATATTTACAACTTTTCTCTATAAAATACTAGTTTAGACTCACAAACTGTAAAAATGGTTGCTGCTAAAGGAAAAGACGAATGCCTTTCTTAAGAAAAAAACTTGAATGAGAATTTTATTTCTGTTCCTGTGCCACTTAGACAAGAAAAATCCAGAGCTGTGCAGCACTGTGTTAAGATTTTGTTTTCTTTTTGAAGTATTCCTATTTTGTAGATATTAAGGCCATTAGAATATGTATCACATATACAGATTTTGAAACTTGAAAATGCTTTAGCTCAGATAGATAGTTTCTTATCTGGTCAATAAATAGTTGCCACACTAAATTATTAAGACACCAGATTTGCAAAGATAAATAACTTGGTATGAGCACAACTCCAGGCAACAAACGGCTTCTTAAACTGGTTGCCTTGCAGGTTTTTCCTTCAGTGCAGTAGCATGTGTGTATATCTGTTCTCCTCTTTCCCAAGCTGTGATTTTCAACTGCTCTCTGTTTCAACCAAAGTTATTAATAAAGCCTTATTTTTTGAAACTGAAAGGTTAGGGAAATTTTTGTAGGCTTTATCAAGCCATATTGTTTGGGTCACAGGATACCTGCAAGTATATACACTTAACCTAAGAAGGCAGGAAGTACAGGCAGAAAGGACTTATGCCCTTTCTCACTTTTTCCTAAACAAAGTGTCTATTTGAAAGAGGTTTGGAGAGTTAGTGCATAGAGGTTTTCCATGGCATTTCCATCAATGGCTTGAGATGGCCTGGGTAACAGATGACCAATGTGTCATTCCCATTTTGCCTGTTTCTCTTGTCATACTGGTGGATATTTCTTCACTTTTGTTCTACTTTAATATGAAGCACACAGATGTTTCAGAACAAGACGTGACTTCTGACCTTGGGGCTTCTAGGGTCAGGGTGCTCAGGGCCTGTGAAATTATCACAAGCTGAGCTAAAGTTTTTATCCATCACAGGAAGTAACCAGTAAGTACGAAGTTAAAAAGGAGCTTTGTGAGAGAGACAAGATGGTCTCAGTAAGGGTCAGCTTCTGTAGTCTGCTATCTCTGCAGGAGATGTATGCATGAGAGGAAGAATATAATATATAACCATTGGCACATCACATATCTGTCAAGCAAAACTAGACCTGAGAAATATATTTAATGTATCCTGATTGTTTTTTTAAAAAAATCAAAGGATATTATTAACACCTGTTTTTGGTAGAGGTAGTTTGATGTTGGAGTTCCACTAAAAGCAGTTAAGCAAATAAAGTTTACACTGAAGCAGAGGTAAGGTACAATTGAAATGCATCTTCAACTGTTGTATCCTGATATTGATTTCAAAGATTTTATTTTGTTATAATCTCATTTCTCTTTAATTTTGTATCCATATGGCAGTTAGCAATTGCAAAGAGCTTGAAAAAATAAATATAGCAGCTGATGGGCAATTACTGTCTTACAACAAGTACATATTCAATCACTTTCTCTCATGTTTTATGTGGGGGAGATCTTGAGGTTGATATAGCAACTATACCACCTCTACACTTGCTACACAAGAATTTTGGGTCAACTGATTCATAAAAATATACCTTACAGTAGTTACTGAGCCCCCTTGCACAGCTGTTCATTCTGAACCCATTCCTCTTCTAGGAGAGCAGTGGGAAGCATATGGCTTTAATTTGGAGTGCAGGATTCTGCCTGGACCCTCTGTATGTGATTGTGGCCACAGCAAAAAAAAAAAAAAAAAGGAAAAAGAAAAAAGCAGAAAAGTCAAAAAATAATTAAAAACACTTTTCACCAAATATCTTTTAAATCGTCTTTGTGCATTCAGAGCTGCTAGTTCTGTCTTGGCTGTTTGTAGCCCCCTAATCACCAGAGATCTCATCACTTCTTCATGGGGTGATACTCTCTCCATTAACTGACACTTCAGTGTTAGGCAGAGAAAGCGGTTTTTAAACATAGGCTGGTTCGTGGTGGTTGGTAGGATCTCAGGCAAAGAGCATTGCAGAGCTGCTGTCCCTGGAGTAGTCGTGGGAAGCTTTGAGCCTTACGAAAGCACAGTATGTCCAGATGTTCCTTTTCTTGCACTTTTTAAAGAACTGGCATGGAATAAGCAGCTCTGCTCTACTCTTCAGGTTTCCAAAATCCTATGCCGGCATGCATGTGGACATACGTTTCAGTAGGAAACTCAAAGTGCTAAGACAGTAGTTATAACCACACCTTGTAAAGTTGGAGGAGCATTTCTACTTAGTCCTAATGGACTGTTGGTGGCCAAACCTCCACTTAGTTTGGAATTTGGGCTCAGTCTGGGAACCAGAAGAATCAGATTGTGGTTTGGAAGACCCTTATTAAACAGGCCACTTAAACATGGCTACTATTTTCAAGTGTATGCCACAGCATCTAGTATTTTTATCGGTGCCTGCAGCTTTTGTGCCTGATGGCATTTTTGCATGTCTGTAGTTGGCAGATGTTAAGAAATACAGGGTGAGTCTGTAACATCATGCACAGTATTGAAATGAATTGAATGCATAGAAGACGTTATCCCTTTGCTGCAATGTGGGCACACAATTTCTGCACCTTACTGGGTCATAGGGGGATACTAGGGGAATAATTGAAAGTGATTTAACATGTGTGAGAAGTAAAGTTCTACCAATAAATGTAATTAGTTAGATTGTTTATAGCTCAAATTACAAACGCTAATCATAAACTTTATGCTAAAATGCATCTTAACATTTAGTAATTAAAACTTTGTGTAATTGTAGTTTGAAACTAAAAGCACAGCTAATAATGTCTAAAAGTAAATTACTTTTTAAATACACAGCCCTAGAAATAGTTGTTGGGTCACTGTGTTCTGCTAATTTATGATTTTGAAAATCTCAAAACATGATTCATGAACACATCTCAGCTTCTTACTTCTGTTATCCCTTACTGAGCGTAGATGGAGATTTATTTTCAGATGCAGCTTGTGGTGGTTGATGGTTAATTGTGGAACTTGCCCAACTCCTAGCTTATAATAATTTTATGAAATTTAACAGAAAGTGAGAATTTCAAGTTGATGGAGTCAATTTTATATTTAGTTTACAGAAAATAAGTTTCTGGTACAACGCCTCCTTTGAGTTTTTCTGCCAATTTTTGTGGGTTTACAATTATTGTGCTTTAAAAAGAATGTTTTCCCTTGTGAGTGCCTGCATAAAATGCCTTCACAGAAGTGAAAGGAATATATCGGGTCCAAACGCCTACCTGAGTCCTATGGTCCATCCACTGCAGATCAGGGTCTGCCTGCCTTTGGACAGGGAAAGAAAGCTTGGTCCTAAGTTGTTGGGTGACATTTAGAACTATCCATGTTTATCTTTATATTAAAAAAAAATGTATGAGTACTACTAATTTTGAAATCATGAGAAGAATTATTAAACCTAAGTTTCCAAAATTGTTCAGAATCATGAAATCAAAAAAAAAAAAAAAAGGAGAGAGATCTTGTGAGATATTTTTCCTGTCTCCTGTTCCTCCAAAACCCCAGCTTTGCATTTTCAAGAACTTTTTCACCCACTAATGAATTAGAAACATCCTTTTTTGTTTTTTCCCCCCACTGGCACTTTGGTGCTTTAAGAAAATAACACCAAATATGATAAAATTGTTAGAATTGGTAGTGGTGTCTGCTGCTTACATCTCTTTAAAAATATAAAGTGAGGAAGTAATATAATTAAAATAATTAAGTATAATTAAATCAGGAGATGGAAAGTAAGTTCATTGTCTTTGAATGGATGAAAAACTATTTCTTATAATCTTTATTGGTACAGATGTTGGATACATATATTGATAATTTGCACAAAAGCATAGGAAAGAAGTATGTGTGTTTATATATATAATCAGCCCTGTTAAAATTAGTGTCTTTAAGACACACCATTCAAACTACTGTACCTCCTGCAGCATCCTAGTTCCATCAAAATCAGGCAGTTTTGTCCATTTGAAATAATTTTGGATCCACCATTTTGAGATATGCTCTGGAACACACTGCCCCTTTGTTGTGTTGCATTGTGCTGAGCCGAGCGAGAGCCTGACCCTGGAAGAGCTTATGGGAGCCTTAGTAATAACAGTGGTAAACAGCCAGCGGCTCAACCTCGGAGCCTCCCTGGCTGTAACAATATTCTTTCTGGCTTAGACAAAATGCAGTTTTAGAGCACTGAGGGTTGTGCTGTGAACTTGGCATTAGCTTTTCATTAATTTAGCTTTCTGAAATTTCAGCCTGAATGGTTTGTTAT